CACAGGTCGGGAGCTGGTCAGCGACTCCGCGTCGACCGCGGTCCCCGTCACGCTCGGCATCTGCACTCCAAGGGACTGGATCGGCACGCGCGCCTGCGCCACGGCTGCCTCCGACAGCGGCCGCACGGGCAAGGCGCCAGGCAGCGGCCAACTGCAGCGCACGCCTGCAGCGCAGCAGGCAGCCCGCGGCACGAACGGCATGGCCTCCGCGGCCGAGAACCCGCTAGACGGCACTCGGCACGCATGCCAGGCAGTGTTCCGCCTGAGCCGCATCGCACCAGGAACGCGATGGCCTGCGACCAGTCTCTGGAAAGCCGGTCTCGGCGCGCGCTCGCGGTCCACCCATGAGCCCGGGGCGCCGCGTGCCGCCACCAGCGGCCGTAGTGCTGCTTCCAACGCAGCGCCTCGCCGCGGCGGCGCCGAGGGGGTCCTTCTCCATAGTCCTCAGCTCACTGGGACGCCACATCGAAGGGCAGCCCCCAGCAGCCATCAAACGCGCGCCCGCCGACGCCGCCGACGTGCCGCCGACCGCGGACGAAGAGGCATCGGAGAAAGCGGGAACCGAACCTGGAGCCAACATGGCTACGGATCCCCATCACCATCACCATCATTATCATCATCATCCTCATGATCATCATGATCATCATGATCATCATGGTCATCATGATCATCACGATCATGACCGTCATCATGCTCACCATCATCGATATCATCACACTCATCATCATAATCATCATCAGCAGCATCAGCATGGTCATCAGTACCATCAACATCATCATCGTCATCAACAACATCATCAGCGTCATCACCACAAGCATTAGACTCGTCACACTAGACATCACCATCATGAACAGCATTGTCATCATCATCATCATCACCCCCAACATCACCATCATCACCATCACAATCATAATCATCATCGTCATCACCACCATCAATATGATCATCGTCATCGGCGAAATTACCATAACAAACATCGACATCATCATCCCCATCGTCATCAACGATCCCAACGTCATGACCATCGTCGTCCTCACTATCCTGATCATGAGTGTGATCATCATCATGATCATCACATTCACCATCATGATCCTCATGCTCAACCATATCCTCATCGTTATCCTCATCGTTATCCTCATCCTAATCCTCATCCTCCTTATCCTCATCCCCATCATCCTCATCCTCCGCGTCATCGTCATCATCACCATTTTCACCATCAGCAACATCATCACCATCATCACCACAATAATCACCATCACCATCATCAGCATAATACTCATCATCAACATCATCATCAACATCATCATCGTCATCGTCATCGTCATCAGTATCGTCATCGTTACACGTGCCGTCTGCTTGTTATGCTCCACGTTCTGATGCTGCTGTTCATCATCCCTCCTCACCCACCTCTCCCTCCTCCTCTTGGTCTCCGTCCTTATCCACCTTCTTCTCTTCCACCTCCTCCTCGTCCTCCTCGTCGTCGTCGCCCTCCTCCTCCTCCTCCTCCTCCTCCTCCTCCTCCTCCTCCTCCTCCTCCTCCTCCTCCTCCTCCTCCCCCCGAACCACATGTTCTATCAAGCTGACCCTCGACTCAAACCAGATCGTTCGTTTCTCTGATGTTCAGCTCCTGGCGAAGGCCGCGCTCCTTCTCCCTGAGCTGCTGCAGAAGCTCGTGCAGGCCCGCGTTGTCCTGCCGGGCCTCCTCCAGGGCCTCGATGAGATCGTCGACGCTGACCTCCTCGCCGTCCGCGTTGAAGATGAGCGCGCTCGACTGCGCCGGCACGATCTCGGACAGCACCGAGGACGCAGAGCTCCTCCTGCGGCTGCGCGGGATGCCCGTCTCCGTCGTGCTCGTAGTGGTCCGGCCGCCGCGCTCCGCTTTCTCTGCCGCCCTCGCGCGCGGCTGCTCGGGGCGCGGCTGCGTCGGGCCGCTGGGCGGTTCCGCACGGGCGGCCGCGCCGCCCACGCCGACCGCGGCAATGCTCTCGGGGCGGACGAATATGCCGCGGTGGGGGGCGCAGGTGAAGTAGGATCTGCCGCCCACGCTGCCATTGTGCTTGCCCACGGGCTCGTCGAGCTCCACGCCCACCCACCTGCCCTCCTTGAAGTCCGTTTCGCCGGAGAAGCGCACGACGCCACATCGGCCTTTGATGGAAACCCTCTGGCCCAGTGCGAAGCTCATGGCGACACTGGCGGGGCAGCCGGTTCGACGGTGCGAGGCGGAGGCAGAAGATTGAGCCAGTAACGCTGCTGTCGCTTTTGCGGTCAGCATTGTAAGGCACGCTGCATAAGAAGCGAAAGGGGCTTCTCTGGCCACGGCAAGCCTCGGCTCCGAATAGGCTCCCCGACCTAATCTGAGGAACGGCGCGCGCGAAAACCATAGTTCCTCGAGAGCCCGACATGATACTCGTTCCAGCGTTTTGGCTTTAATCTTATTTGTGGTGCAGCTTCTGCTGCTGCAGCTAGTTCACAGACCCCGTGCGAGCATGTTGCCCACAGCTGCAGCAGATGCGCCATGCCAGTCTGGGTGAGTGGCATCCGCCGAGTCTCGAATACCAACCGGAGCTGGAAACTGGCCGCGGCCGCCGCGGAGGCACGAGCAAATCGTCGCTGAGGGTGGAATGCGGCCGGCGCGAAGGCGAGGGCACACCTCCGAAGCAATACATCTTGCGACAGTAGCAACTCTCACGCGCGGGACCAACTAGGAATACAGGAAAAGCAAAACGTGCCACGAGACACTGAGTGAGGTGTCCTCCCTCAGGTCCCTTCGAGCTCTCTGCGTTGAGGTTTTTGCAGATGCTCAGTGCGGGGCCCGAGCTCTTCGGACTTCTGGGCGCGATCCGGGGGCTTCCAGAGTGACTTTTCCAGAGGCCTTGGGTTGTGGTTGCTGAAAGGCCTGTTTGACACCACCACCACCATAGGTAGGATAGGGAGGGGGTCCACCTCCTTCTCCTCCTCCTCCTCCTCCACCTCCTCCTCCTCCTCCTCCTCCTCCTCCTCCCCCTCCTCCTCCTTCCCCCCTCCAACTTATGGTGGTGGTGGTGGTGGTGGAAAACAGGCCCACCAGTTGCGAGTCCACACCTCGCCCATGACATGAGATGGCCCCAAGGGGGGCAACCTGGGGCTCGGCTCTGATCGGGGCCTCTCGGCTTTGGATGCCCTGAGTCTCTTCAAAACGAGGACCCAACACCATAGGATGGTTGGGAACAAATTCAACCAGCTAGACGGATGAAGGGTGGTCGTGTTCTAAATGTGGTTCCCGACTCAGCGCCGCACACAGTCGCTCCAACATCTCTCTGAATCCCACCAGCCCAACGGGCGTGAGTGATGTAGAACGCCTGCCCTGCTTCTTCTTTACCGCTCCCGCTACGCCCTCCCCTGGGTCTGGAGGGGCGGTGACGCGAGGTGTCAGAAGGCTTTGTTGTGACTCAAGATGACTCCAAGAGGGCCTCAAGGAACCGAAGATGACCTTCAAGATGCCTCATGCTATCGGAAGATGGCTCAAGATGGCTTCCAACATGTTTCGAGAGGCTCCGAGGCCATTTCAAGACGGCTTCGAGTGGCCACTGAGTTTCCCTAGGACTCCGCCAGCAGGTCAAAATCCTTTTAAACACCGAAGGGGGATCAATCTCCTTTGCCTTCTCGCCGTGTCGATGACGATGGCCTGTCGAGGCCTGAAGGTGGCACCAGAAAGGCCCAAGATAGCCCCAACCGGAGCCTAGTAGTGCCCCAAGACGGCCCCAGGGGCGCGCAAAAGTGCCCCAAGAGCGTTCCCAGACGCGATTTCAAGCGCTCTAAAGGGGCGACCCTAATTGAGGACCCCCCCCCCCCTCTTTGATCGACCTTCCCCAAGATGTCCCCAAGATGGCCCCCAGGGTGGGGACCGCCAAGAGGCCCCCGACAAGATGTCCCAAGAGGATTCCAAGGAGCTCTCAAGAGACATCCGAAGGGACTCCGAGAGGCATCAAATATCACTCTGGCCTTCTTCTGCTCGCTCTCCTCCTCCTCCTGCCCCTCATCTTTCTCATCCGCCTATTCCTAATCCTCCCTCCTCCCTCATCCCCCTCTCCCTCACCCTCATTCTCTTGGACCTTCTCTCTCTCCTCCTCCTCCTCCTCCTCTTCCTCCTCCTCCTCCTCCTCTTCCTCCTCATCCTCTTCCTCCATCCTCCCCCTCTTGGGGTATGACTCAAGAAGGCTTCTCCAGCCCTTTATCCCACTGCATGCTCCTCTACATCCCTGATCAAGGCAGCTCACCTGGGCCTCGTTCCTAGATGGGCTTGTGTGTTTACGTGATGCGTCTATACGAACAGTGAAACAAAGGAAACGGTGCTCCATAATGTCGAATTCGTTATGCGACATCTTGAAAAAACACTGAACTTAATAGGCCTGTAACAACTACACGAACGGAACCAGGCTCCAAATCAGGTCCGGGCTATCGCTTCAGACTTCCGTGGTTACATGGGCGGCAAGATCCACGCAGACGCCGTGTTTCTTTTTCAGAGCGGAGCTTTCTTGGAAGTATCCCTGGACTGCATGATCATACCTCGCCGGCGTCCCAGTAACAAGAAAACACGGATGAATGGCAACTCCGTGCTCAGAACGAGTCTCACGCCGTATGGCTGGGGCATGTTATTGGTGCATGTGTGCATGCTTGTTGTAAACAGCAGAAGCTTGCGGAACGTGCATGAACACTGTGTATGGTATTTGGGATTGTTGCTGGTGGTTGTTCTTCAAGTGGGTGATTGATACATGAGTGGTTGTCTGATAGTGGGGTCGGCCTTTGATGTTCATTCCTGGTGTAGGTTCTTCATACATGTTCTTGATGTGTGCGGCGGGTGCATGTCGTTAGTCTCTGCGTCTGGAATGCAAAACTAGTGACTGCTATGCACTCCCGTTCTTGGTGCCCTGCCAGTTCTTGACGTGCGGCTACTCTATGGCACTGATGTTTCTGCTGCCGCGCGTCCTTCATGCATTGCCGTGACTTCTGTTCTAGATATATAAGGGCGGCGTGACGTCATGGCGCCTGAGCGGCGCGATGCCTCCCTGCTGGGGCTGCCGCGTCCGTTACGCCTGATCTATGTCGCCGCGACGTTTGTTCTCCACGCGCCCATGTGGACGACACCGACACCACGGCAAACCCACGGCAACGCCAACGTCCCGCACCTCAGAAGACGACGCCGCCACGCGGCAAACCCCACGGCGAGCCCACCGCACCCAAGGCAGCGTTTGCCCTGGTGGCCGCGACGTCCTCCCCAAGACGCAAGGCCGCGCGACGGAACGAACGCCGCAGCGACGTATGCCTGTTCAGTATGGTCCTCGGCAAATTAGGGGGTCTCTGGGGCCCTGCGGCCGCGGCATGCAAGGCGGGATCCCCAGGGACCACCGCCGGCGGCCGCGGCGCGCAGCCGTCGTCCGTCGAAGACGCGAGGCGGGGCCGCCAGGGATCGTCGGGATCATCTGGGCCTGGCGGCCGCGGTGCGCAGGGTGTTCGAGGTGGGCCGAGAGCTCTTCTCGCGAAGTCTAAGAGCCACAAGCTGCCAGGTGGGGAGAGCACCCCCCGAACACCCCGACACGGCCATCAGCTCTCTCCCCTCGGGGAGGGGGTAAGATGAGGGAGGGCAGGCGCGGAGTGGATGGGGAGCTTGGGGGAGGAGAAAGGACGGAGAGAAGGAGGAGGAGGAGGAGGAGGAGGAGGAGGAGGAGGGGAGGGTAGAAGAAGCAATGGCAAGGGAGGATCTGAGGAGGTGAAGGGGGGCGCGAAGGGGGAGGGGAGAGGAGGAGGAGGAGGAGGAGGAGGAGGGAGGAGGAGGAGGAGGAGGAGGAGGAGGAGGAGGAGGAGGAGGAGGAGGAGGAGGAGGAGGAGGAGGAGGAGGAGGAGGAGGAGGAGAGGGAGGGAAAGGGGGCGAGAGGAGACGAGAGGAGGAGACAGGCGGAGAAAAGGGGGGGCGCGAGCAGCACCAAGGACGACCGACGACGGCGGGACGAACCGAGAGAATTCGACCGCCCCCCACGAGGCCGCAGCGGCAGACGGCCGCAGCAAGCGGAGAGCAGCGGCCACGGGGGGGCTGTTCTCGGGGGCGCGCGAGCACGGATCCGCGATCCGTGGATTTGTTGAGCAGGGACCGACCGTCCTGGCATTCCTATAGTCCTACCACCAAATTTCTCTTAGAACCCAAAAATGCTCGAATGACAAAACTTATCCCAGTGCGACCCTACCTAGGAGTTGGAGCCCCTAGGAAAGCAGCATTAGTAGTAACAGTAAAGCTAAGCTAACGTTAAGCTACAGTTAAGCTAAAGCTAAGCTAAAGCTAAGCTAAAGCTAAGCTAAAGCTAAGCTAAAGCTAAAGCTAAGCTAAAGCTAAGCTGAAGCTAAGCTGAAGCTAAGCTAAATCTAACCTGAAGCTAAGCTGAAGCTAAGCTAAAACTAAGCTGAAGCTAAGCTAAAGCTACGCTACAGCTAAGCTAAATCTAAGCTGAGGCTAAGCTAAGACAAAGCTAAAGCTAAGGTAACACTCAGGTAAAGCTCAGGTAAAGCTAAGCTACAGCTAAGCTGAAGCTAAGCTGAAGCTAAGCGAAAGCTAATATAAAGCTAAGCTAAAGCTAAGCTAAAGCTGAACTAAAACTAAGCTAAAGCTAAGCTGACGCTAAGCTGAAGTTAAGCTGATGCGAAGCTAGAGCTAAGCTAAAGCTAAGCTAAAGCTAAGGTAAAGCTAAGATAAAGCTAAGATGAAGCTAAGCTAAAGCTAAGCTAAAGTTAAGCTCAAGCTGAGCTGATGCTAAGCGAAAGCTAAACTAAAGCTCAGCTAAAGCTAAGCTGAAACTAAGCTAAAGCTAAGCTAAAGTTCAGCTAAAGCTAAGCTACAGCTAAACTGAAGTTAAGCTGATGCGAAGCTAGAGCTAAGCTAAAGCTAAGCTAAAGCTAAGGTAAAGCTAAGATAAAGCTAAGATGAAGCTAAGCCAAAGCTAAGCTAAAGCTAAGCTCAAGCTAAGCTAAATATAAGCTAAACATAAGCTAAATTTAGGGTTCTGTTAAGCTAAGTCTAAGCTAAAGCTGAGCTAAAGCTAAGCGCACGCTAAGCTAAAACTGAGCTAAAGCTCAGCTAAAGCTAAGCTAAAGCTAAGTTAAAGCTGAAGCGAAGCTAAAGCTAAAGCTAAAGCTAAAGCTAAGGCTAAATCTAAAGCTAAAGCTCCCAGGGAACTGGGGGAATCGCTCCCAGGGGACTGGGGGAACCGCCCGGGGATTTTTGCACTGCCCGGCCCCTTTAAGCACAGAGAGTAAGAACCCTTCTA